GAGAAAATAGTGTTTGAGCGTTTCTGAACGTGCGGAATTTTGAGTTCATATTCACGTAAAACTGTTGTTTGGGAAGCATTATCTCACATTATTTAAAGCACGTGTACTCACAAATACATTAATCTAAAAACATTTTTGCATATTATCTGTCGCATAATATTAATGACGTGAGAGACCAGTCAAAAAATTATTCTTCTAATTTTTGAAAAAAGAAAAGAATAGATCAATATAGCATTTATGACATCTTATTGAGTACGATTAGCACAATCCCTAACAAAAGTTTAAAGAAAAACGTTGGAAGCGTTTTTGAGAAAATCTTTTTGTAATTTTTTTAAAACTGCTCATATTGTTCGCAATACTGCGCGAAAATGACTATAATTTTAAAAAAATGTACAGGACCTTAATGAAAGAACTCACCATCAAAAACAAATTTTATTTGAAGAAACAATCACCATTTTCAATTATGTAGTTGTAGAAAAACCCCCAAAAAAATTAAAATTTCTAAATTTCCAAAAATTCAGAGTTAACCGTGAAAATCAGACCTACGCAACTGTTAAAAGTGCATTTTACTCTATTCTTATATGAATTTAAAAGAAAAATTTGAAGTCATCTGTGTGAAAAAAATTGAAAATATTCCAAAGGCTTTTTGTAAAGTATCCCCCAAAAACAAGTGAATCATTTTCAAAATCGCAGACCTTCGACTAAGGCTAAATGAGCAGGGGTTTCTTCAATTTGAAAAAAATCCTACTGATGGTTTAGGAGGTAGTGTTGTTCACATACACTTGACGGACAGACGGAAGGACAGTCGGACAGACAGGCAGGCGACGGACGGACGGACAGGCAGACGGTTTAAAAAAACACCTTTTCGGTATCTGAGGACCACAACGTATAGTTCCGTTGATGTCTCGAAATCATTTTTCCGCAGCATTACATTACTTTCCCTACACTACGTATATTACTCCGTATATACGCACTATAAGGAAAAATAAAAATGAAGATGAAGAGCAGAACAACGTCTGTTGGGTTCTGCAAATTATTAGATACAAAAGTATTGTTTCCACCAGCAATAAACACACGTATACGACTTCCTAGGTATTGATGAATACATCCCGACTTACGTATGGGACGTCTTCACGAATTCACCCGTACCCGGTGAAATAATTTTGAATGGCAGAGAATTATTATTATTATTATTATGTATTTATATTATGTATTATTATTATTATTATGTATTATGTAATGTTAAATATTTCACAGTATCTACTCGGTCGGTAAATGTCGAAACCAACACAGGTCAATGATGACGCAGGGTGTGTGGTTGCCCTTTTGACTGAAGGTTCAGATGGTTCTGACAATACGGATGTATTCAAAATTAACAGTCTTTTGCATATTATATACATTCCTGGATACAAGTGAAGACACTCCAGTGCCGAAGTGTCATTTCGGATCACTCCCGTAGCTGATATTATTATAGGCACAGGTCGTCACTTTACTGAAGTTCCACTGAGTTGCGATTCATAGGCGAGATTGGTATACTCTTTGGATCTTCTCTTGATATTTTCCCGATATGTTGTGGGATTGGGTATTGATATATCGATAAGGAAAACTTGCTGTTGTTTTATCAATGTACGTTATATCGGGCTTATTGCCGGCGACATGTCTGTCAGTGATAATGAAACGATCCCAGTAGAGTGTGTGCTCACTATTTCAAGCACATTTGAGGCACATATTTATAATACGGCACGGAAGTGGAGTAAGCCCGTTCTCAACGCAATAATTGGTGTACCCGTTCGCACTTCATCATGCCTCTTTTTGTATTCCACCTGTGCGTGGCTGCTACATCCACTTGTCACGTGTTGGATAGTTTCGCTTGCAGCGCTCATCTCTATCACGAGTCGGAATGAATGGTAGAATCTCTCAGAATGTGTTTTTCTGTAGTTCAATGTTGGTACCATTTGGTCCTGGATAGCTATCATGAAGGCTTCTGTCTCCGGAAAGAGAATCCCCTGTGGAGCATGCGTGCGACGAGAGATGTCGAACTTCTGGTTTACTCAGCTCGTGAGGGTACCTTCCATGCAGTGCCTTTGCTTTCCATAAGGTTCTTCTTTCGTTTCAATGATGGTGAACAGGGGATCAATTTTCAAGGTTCAGAAGATAATAGGTTATGCACTGGTGTCACTGGCTTGTGATCTCCCACAATGTTCACGAAGTGTCTTCTGAGTGAAGCAATTTGAGAGCTGTGTAGATTTATGAGATCTAAATACTCGCCCTCCTTGCGACCTTGGCGGAAGGAGAATATCAGTACTTGAATGGGGATGATGTTTTCGGTGTTGAGTCATAGCGGTTCGAATTGTTCTCTGGAGGTTGTCGAGGTCGGTATTGCTCCATTTAATAAGCCAAAGGAGTATGTCAGCACTGGAATAACAAATGAATTTAATAGCCTGCAAAGGTTTCTAGCAGAGAGTTTGAGTTTTTTAAGAGCCCATGCAATCGTTACACACTTCATTTGGTAGCATATTCTTAGTAACATTGGTTTGATTCGGAGTGACTGTTGGAAACCCAAGTATTTGTAAGTTTCAATGGGGTTCCATGAAGGTAATCTTTGGTTCATTATCAGTTTCCAAATTTATAACTTGCATATGACCGCGAATGATATTCACCATCCTTGCACTTATCCAAACCGATTTTCATCTTAATGTCGTCAGTAAACTTCTCCGTCACGTTTATTTAGTTGCCGCATTTGCTCTCAGTGTCTGCATAGAGTTCAGGTCATCCATGCTAAAGGGATGTGGACGAAGAAGAGTTGAGGTTCCCTTTTTAAGAGCGATTCCAATAATTAGATGAACTAAGTAGAGTAGAGAGGGGATTCAAGGCCTAAACAGAACAATAAAGGGCTTAAAGAGTCACCCTGGAAAATCCCTCGGCGGATATGTATAGTATCTGTGTGGACGGATTGTTTTCCATTAGAGAGATACAGTTTTGTATTCCATCGACTCATGAGTTTCAGGAGTTTTGGATAAACGGGTGGACCTTGTATAATCCAAACATTGAAGAGCCAAGAATGGGGCACGGTGTCGAATGCTTTAGCGTAATCTATGTAGCATGCGTACAAGTTTCTTTGTTTTTCAAGCACTTGCCCATAATTACAGAGTCTATAATGAGTTGCTCCTTGCATCCCTGAGCCTAGCGTCTACATCTTTCTGTTCATTTGCTAAGATGTTCTGTTCCTCAATGTGTGTCATCATCATTTGGCGAAACACAAGATGTTATGAGTTGTTAGAAAGTTTATGAGAGCGGTTATAGGCCTGTACTTCGAGGGGTTTTAGTATCACCCTCCTTTGTGTAACAAAAATGTTCTACCTTCAGTGAGGAAGTGAGGTAGATTTTCTGGATTGTGAAGAAAATATTGAATTATATATAGCTATATGATGGTGAGTGCTGGTAAATTTTTGAGCCAATAATTGTGGAGGCCATCACTGCCTGGTGCCTTCCAGTTTATGTGCTTTGCTCAAAGCTGCTTGGACAATTTCCACTGTGATGATGTGGTTCAACCATAGAGGGATATCTCGGTGTCTGTCATATTCCATTTCAATCTACGTCATATCTGGGTTGTGGACACAGCAGATGACCAGATAGGCTTCCAAAAGTCCTCTATTCGTGCTTTGAGGGAAGCTTTGACTCTTCCATATCATTTACAAGCCCTTTGCCCTTTGACTATTCCTGTAGAATGCTTTCTGGTTTCTGTTAAAAGAGAATTCTGTTGCTTCCTCGTAGTGCAATTCCTGTAGCGTCCGAAGGGTTTTTGTTAACGCCAAAAGCTTTTGTCGTAGGTGTAGAGATGTTCTGTTAGTTGAAATTCAAGGGCTCGTGCTTCGTATGAATTTTGTATTGATGAGGATGTTATTCACCTTTCTTCTCAGTTTTTCTGAGATATTTCCATTTTAAATTGTGTGAGTCTCCCAATATCTCTCCTAGTGCTTTCTATACGATTCACCAGCCGTCTTTCCCAAGGTGGCATTCTTTTTCACTTCGATCATTTTATTTATTATTATTATTATATTATTATTATTATTATTTATTATTATTATTATTCAACAGAGGTAGAGGTAGGGATCGCTTCAATATATTGGATGTTCTTTAGTTCTGGTTGTTCAATTCATATCTGAAATTATTTTTTGCTTGTCTATAAAATGTGTATAAGCAATGTGACTTGAAAACATTGCAGATATGCCCGCAGGCCTTTAGTTTGAATTTTTGGACTTTTTCGTGTGATGTCTGAAGTGGGGGCAGAAATTGCAACAGTATAATATTACATAATCCTTCCCAATAATTCGAACAAGTATGTGCTGTTTTAGCAATATTATGGAGGAGCAAATCAGAAAGGCTAGACTAGACTAAAGAAATAATCAAAATAACTAGTTTGAGGACGTCTGAAATGTTCTGTAGCTCCACTGATTTAAATTTTCAAATGTCTTCTGCTTATCAAAATGTGCACATTGCTACTGACATAAAAAGTAAATCACCCTCTGGCTCTGAAACTTGCTCTGTGCCGTCTTCCTCCGCGCCAACGTATCGAAGCAAGTCGGAAACACTGCGATTAGGCACCCGTATAGCGCGGCCGGCTGTGCTAGGCGCACGCTTGCATCAGAGCAGTCGGCCCCTCGCGAGGGGAGGTGATCGCAGCATGGCCCTAATTTCTTCACTGTCCGTACGTGCTGCGGCCTTACGCGAAATGACGCAAACGAAGTGTCTCTCTCTGTCTATTACACACATCACTAACTTTAAATTAATGATTACCTACGTGTGATGTTAATTTCGAATGTCCCGCATGATAAATTCAGTCTTTCAACATGTTCATTGATGCCATATGCATAAAAATGGTTTGGCAAATGTAAATTTTATCAATGAATGACGAAAATCAATGAAAGTCATACGAAAAGTTTCAAAGAAATCATTCCGCACCTTCACAGAAAGTGAGAAAGTGTTATTTTCTATTGCAGGGGCTTCCTGCACCAAAGACACTGCCTGCAGCTCGTCCATGTATGCATTCTACGAGGCCTTCGAAGCCATCAGGAACGGACACATCGACTGCGCGTTGGTGGGTGGCACCAACCTTACCTTGCACCCTTACATGTCGCTGCAGTTCAGTCGGCTGGGAGTACTTTCACCGAAGGGAAAAAGCCGCCCGTTTGACCAAGACGGTGAGAAAAATGTGCACAGTTGGGTTCAAAAAAGTCAGCATTTCTTAAAGAATACTTAATTGTCATTTATTTAAAGCCAAAAATAAAGCTTTCGGATTAGGAGTTACAGTGGTAATGATGTACACCTTATGTTATCACCCGCCTCATCAATAAAATTAATTCAGTGTATCTTGTAATTCGGTTCTCAACATATTGAGCAATCACCACACAATAATTTGCAAAATATAACGTGTAATTTGTAATAACTATTTTATATTGTCTCATAGCATTTTATTGTTTGTGCCACTCCAGTAATGTCCTTCTGACATGTCCTTGAGAGTGTACATTTATCTTTCGTCAAAGATGTCGCGCCGCTTGCTTCAGGGATCCTCCGGGGTCTTGTCAAAACAGCGTTCAACGGTGCAAAATGAAATTTTCTCATAAGGCAATTCTAAACATATGTAGTCTAATGAAATACTGGGATATTCCGAATGGTTGAGCCTCATTAAGCACTCAAAAGTTGTTTTTAAAAGATGCATTCTAGGCAAAATTTTGCATTGTAGAAGCATAGAATTACTCCAGAAATATGCGAATTGTTTATTATTTATAGAAGAAGATAATATATTTGTTCAGAAAGAAAAATTAACACAGAAATTTAAAAAAAAACAATTTACACAATTCGACAGCTTATTTTATTTCTAGACTTATCCTTCCATCTGAACAAATATATTCATTTCAATAATCAAAACTGATTTTGTCTTTATCAAATATGTATCCCAAAGTCAGATCTCGTAATAAAAACTGGTATAATTTTTCGAATATGTGACTAGCATTCTCAGAATTTCTCATGAAATATTGGCAATTCTTAACAACTATTGTCTCAAAAAACGGATACCTTTTTTAGTTTCCTTTAAGTAATTATCAAAGGGCAGGGAAAAGCTGATCATGGTTTCCACTTCCGAAACACTGGTTTTTCAAAATTTGCAAATAATTAACATAACAAATATATAATATTGAAAACATATTTGTTAAAAAAATCCTGTATAATTTTTTTAGAAAATTGCAAGATTTTTTGTAACGCGAAATAAATGTAGTAGGTAAAAATATTCTGAGAAAAAGGCTCCAAATTTTGTCTTTAATTGTTTTACGAATAGATTATATAATTTTCGTTGAACTCTATACGTATAGGAAAGTGGAAAATATAATGAGAGAAATTATGTGTTGTTGTACCACCATTAGTTTATATATTAATATGAGGAGAGATATGCGCCAATACTTTATGAAAGGTATCGTCCCTATTTAAGCACCTTGAAAACGTGTACCTATGAGCTTCTGGTGCACTTTAAATAAATCGTATTGAGCAGTTCATTCTGTGTGTCCTCCACTTTTTGATATTAACTTTGTTTTTAGATACCGTAAAGGACGCCCTACTTTCATTTACGTTTCGAGATTTTTCGAAAATTATCAAAGTTGACCTTTCTTTGCGTCTTTCCTACCAAATACAATATTGACGTTTCGCGAGAAGTTTGTTAATGAAATCTGTTTTTCAAACATAGATCTTCAAATAAAGTCTGATATAATATGAGTAGGATCACTATACTTTGAATTTTTATAGAAACACTATGGGTGCATAAATATGGTAAATAAAAACAAACGGATGCACCACACTTAAGACTAAAAACGGCTTCAACTTTATTCAATTTTTTTTCCACAGACAGAACAATAGAACCTTAACAGAATGGCGCAAGTTTCATTTTCGTCAAAAACCCGGAATTCGAGTCACGAAAGTTAGATATAATGCGACAAAAATGCATTTCCTGCTGCAGCACCACACGTTAGATACAAAGTTACATAAAATTTTTCCATCTATTGGTATGCTCTGATTGGTATTTTTTCCAATCTTGCACGGACCGTACGTGATCTTTCCTTCTCCTTCCTTACCTTATCCCATACTTACACACACTCACATGCACTACAAATTCACACATGTGGGAAATCAATCTAGTACTTACAGCGTCTCTCGGTTGGGCCGGTGCCCCATTGGTGGGAGATACCTGATTCGGAAAAACCTAACGAGACGACGTATAAGTCGGCGCAGTATTACGCTATCCAGTGGGGGAAACCTCCTGTGTTAAACATTTGCAGCAGACTTACTAGACTAATGACTTTTGCAGTTGACGCACAAGGAAATACTAATCAGTCTATCTATGAACAGGCGACGGTTACGTGCGTTCGGAGGCGATCGCTGCAGTGTTCCTGCAGCGCGCCAAGGACGCCCGCCGCGTGTACGCCACTGTGGTGAACGCGGCCGTCAACTGCGACGGCTTCAAGGAGCAGGGCATCACGTACCCTTCGGGGCAGGCGCAGGCCGAGCTGATGCGCGACACGTGCCGAGGCGCCGGCGTCGACCCCGCCAGCGTGGCCTACGTCGAAGCACACGGCACCGGCACTAGGGTAATAAAGTGGATAAGGGGTTTAATTTTCGCGTGGTTTGCAGAACATAGTTTAGTCTAGAGAATGCATGCTTGGCCCTTCAATTTTTTCATATTGACAATCCAACACTCTTTCCAAACAGGTTGGCGACCCGGAGGAAGTGGGCTCCATTGACAAAGTGTTTTGCCTGGAGTCTGGCAGACAGACGCCTCTACTCATCGGCTCCGTCAAGAGCAACTTGGGCCACACGGAGCCCGTTTCGGGGCTCTGTTCCATCGCCAAGGTTATCGTCGCCATGGAGGATGGAGTCATTCCGCCAAGCATCAACTTCAGGCGTCCGCGGAAGACCATCCAGGGTCTCATGGAAGGACGCGTTAAGGTGAGCTACAGACCTCTCACATAATATTGCTAACCACCCGCTGGTCTCTAGTAACATTTCAGACGTTTAGTGTACTAAAAGGCGTGTGTATGAATTCAAAGAGGGTGCAATTTTGATTTTTGTTCTTTGGACGCAGGTGGGTGACAGAAAGCTAACTACCATGTGTTGTTATATTCGTGTGCGGAGGTAGTGGTTGTCCTAATCTCATCGGTTTCGGCGGCACGCACAGACGCGGTCGTTGTTGCTGCGTTCCCCCACTTACACCCCCTCTCCCCGGAACCAAGGCGAGGCGACTCGGGTACGTGCTCGCCGCTGCCGCGTCTGGTGCTGGCGTTCTGCGGCGTCACGCTGCGAGGCTCGTGTGGATCTGCTCTGGACGTAGGTGTTGCGCGCCCACATCGCTTCGCCGCACCAGCTGGTTGTGTCAGCTCATTGCACCGCCTGCACTGAAGTCAACACGCCGGCCACAATCTTACCGCGGCTTCGTAGAGATTTGAGCAGAGGAGGGACTTGCTTATACTGTATTCACCGTGCGCGTTAACACTCATTGAGGAACTCTGTGTCGAACGACTGTTAGGGCCATCATTACTGGAACTCTTAGAGCGTTTTATCTTGTTATGCTTACCGGGCCTCCGGGTGGCGTTCGTTGTTATTGTGTCGACGGAAGAAGGTGTCTGCCAGTGATGTGGGAAGCAATTACCTAGTTTTGTCTCTCTCTCTTATGGGACGCCGCGCTCGGTATGCGCCTGCTAAGAATTCGGTCATAACTTTCCGACCAGCGTATGCCTCTCCCGGCCCAGCTCCTGCTCACAGCGTATCGTCTGGCCTGGCAGAACCGGCTGCTATCCCCTAGAGAGGAGAGTTCACCGTCGGATACATTCTTAGTTATAGTCATCAAAAGTACTAACAGCACTTGTGTTTGCTACTGATACCGTTTACTAATGAAATCACATTACAGATAGCCCGGCGACCTTGTGGCTCCACAGCACGACGATCTCTGGCAGCTGCTGTCGTGGCGAGTCCCAGGCCTATTCGCGGTGCAGCGTGTTCGGCTGGTGAGTGCCTGTCGGCAGCGTCGCGCGGCGGGGAATTGAGCCGCCGCACGTCGTAATTACCTATCGATCACGAGCTCGAGCGCGTGTGAGGCTTTAAATTGCTAAATGGGCATGCGACCGTCAACCTACGGCAGTGCCTGCGCATCGCCTGAGGCCAACGTGCTGCGGCGTAATGTCCACGAGGACAGACAGGGCGGAGAGTCTTCGGAACCGCGCCGTCTTGGCCTCGGCCCGGCTCCGTCTTCGTCGCTCACGATTAGGCGCCACTCGGTCAGGAGCCGTAGAATGCAGACTGCGGAGAGAACGTTCTGGCAGTCTTGCAGCGGCCTGCTGCACCAACGCCGAGCAGTGTATTGTATGAAGAAGTAGCGCGCCTTGATAGCGCGCCTGCAACCCAGGACCACAGCGTTCGTATCGTGGTGGGGTCGAGTACCGCATGCGGTAGATAGTCCGAGCAACGAGAAGCGCTTAACTTCCGCCACCATCTACTAGTGCGACACTCGTCTCGCCAGTCGGACCTTAGCGGCTCTCGTGCGAGCGGAGTCCCGTCGACAGAGTCTCTAATCCGTCTCGGGCGCTGTTTCTAATCCCGCGTCCAGTGGCCCTGCGAAGATGTAACGATTGCCCTTGAGCAAATCAAGTTGTGGTGCCCAGATGAACCCGGATTATTAAGTAGTAAGAGCACATTGGTTTACATGCGCTATCCAGTGCGCTTTAGCGCTACGTCTGGTTAGCAGTGGCCAAGCTTGACTATCTAGACTCCTCACTGCGGCTACGCTTCTCAAGTGAAGTGTGCCCAGTAAGTTCGCGTCTTGCCCTGTGTAAAGGCGTGCGTGTTGAGAGCTAACAAGATAATCCGAATGAAGATAGGTATTCCGAGTCCTCCGAAGAAGGCAACCGATCTTAGCACGCGTGTGGTTTCCTTAAGACTTACTTGGTGATCCCGGACGCGTTATACCCAGACTCGAACGCTTACCAAGAGACCGCGACAACTTTGGCTTGTCGCGTCCGAGACTCACCAGCTCTTTTCACGTGGATAATTGAAGTGTAGCTAGCAATGCCACCGAATAACCTCGTTGTGAATGTCGTTGCCCTGCCAGAACGAGTTATATTCGTCCAGGCGTGGAAGAGTCTCCTTCCCAGCAGAGGCGTGTCCGCAGAGTGTAAGAGCGCAGAGCGCAGAGCAGAGACCATTCGTGCCGAGTGCTTCAATGCGTTATATGTTACTGCGGTCAGTTATAATGGAGCGCGCATGAATCTTGCTGTGCGATCGTCTCGCAAACCGTGCCGCGAGTTAATGTAACTCCAGTCGACTCTAGTCGAGTGGATCGCGTGACCACGCATCATCGGCCTGTGCAGGCCAAAATGGAGGTGCGCAATCTAAAAAGTGACACTGCGCGCTGTCCTCCGCGATTGTGTTGGGGCCCTGCAAACGTGCCGCTGCGCATCGACGGGGCGCTGACTCTCAACTTCCTTCTCAACGCCATCCGGCGGTAGAAATACTTTTTAGAGTCTGTAGCGATGAAAATAAGTCCTAATTAGACACGGAATCTGGTGGCGATGAAAGCAAAACAAATACACATTCGCGTTCGAGTCTCGCAGCGAAGTCATTCCCAAACTCTAGAGACTCCAAACACAAAACAAAATTCAGACAGTTTTTTTTGTGAATTCCCTTTCTGCTTAAAACATTAGGTCCATATGTCTATTAATTTATAATTCTAAAATAACATGTCTTCCTCCTATTAACCAGCCAAGTCTGTCAGGCGACTAGGGTATACTTTCAAAATCCAATTAACTTTTAAATGACACGCCAGCCAGAAAAATTTGAGTTTCTGAGAAATATATTACTCATGTAGAGGTTTGGCCGGGGCATGGTGTATTCAGTGTCCAATGTTGGTAACCATACAATCCTATAAAATGTGGAGACAAACGGAAATTTTAAAGTTTGATAAACAAATAAGAAAAGACGTGTGCTCTTACTTGTCAAAAGCCACATATTCTTAAGTCGCATCGAAAAATACGCACGACCGCCGGCAGACCTCTTTGAGGGTGAAGCGAGAACCCAAAAATGGAAGGACTAATACATTGTAGGTTGTGCATTAGGTATATGTCCTGTGAGAAGCACTTTAGAATAGGCAGATTGTGAGCATACAGATGATTAGTGGAAATTGGAGATCGGTGGGAGGTAAGGCAGAAGAACCCCCGAGGCCAGATTCAGACCCGTCTTCTGCGTCTACAGCAGCTTCCACATTGAAGTACCCACTTGGTTTGAATAGCAGAAGTGGCGGCTACACGGAGAGACGTTTTCTAACCTCTGATTAATCAGAAGTTGGTCAGGGAATGCGTGCATGCGTAGCCTGTACAACGGCGGACTGCAGCCACGTCCCGCGGCCGCTGGTAACCCGCCTCCGCAGTGGCCCGTGCCCCGAGGCACGCCCATGATCTCCCCGCTGGTTGCGCTGGTCTCACGAGGACGCTGGGTACGTCGCCAGCTTTCGTACGGAGAAGAAGTCCGACAGCGCGCGAAATCACTATCATCTTGAACCCGAAAAACTGAGAGAGCATGTTCATGGAGGGCCATCATTATTGACGGACGGCCGCTTCTTCCGGCAATGGGTATCTTGGCTAAGCCAAATCCATTTTCGTGTGTGTGTTGTTTAAATTTCCGTTGATCTTTAAGTTTGAGGCGGAATCACATCACGTTCGCCTTTGCCGCAACTCGCTCCGGCGCGGACGTGTCAGTTCCCAAAGTTACGGCGACCTCACGTTGCGCGACCCAGCCGCGCGAATGCCTCGCTCTGCCCTCCGCTGCGGCTGAAATGAGTCGCTTGCTCGTCAGAGCCGTACGAGCGAGCCTAACCGAACTGACTACGGCAGATGAATAGCCCACCGCGAGGGAGAAGTGAAGAAGTCATCGTTATTGTCATTATCATCATAATATTTAACAGCGGGGCAAGGTTGCTCGCGTCCGCGTTCTACCACTCACACGCTGAGGGGAAATGCACATCTGTACAGGTCAGCGCGAAAACAAATCGCTAACATGCCAAGGGTGGGCGATGCCTAGTAAGTACTATAGTAGCTAGGACTCTCCATTCCTCTCAAAATTCCATGCCAGAATCCTTTCAACCGTAAAATAGAGAAGAAAGCCTAATAATTGTGTTCTCAGTATCCTAAATACTTTCCATCAGATGTATTCTGACCTGTTTATTCTGTTCATTCTTTTGTGCTTCCTTTACAGTACCCAGTGCCAATCACGAATTATTGTGATCCTAGTATCTCATTAAAAAAATTTCTTTTGTAGTTCATTACAGTAATCAATTCCATAATATAATTCTTGAATGCCCCATAGTACTCACAATTGACTCCCACTTCTAACAAAATAATCATTAGGTGATGTAAATGTTTATGTGCAGAAACTGGTGTGGGAAGCGGTGGCCAACTTACAAGGCCTCCTGTACACGAAGACCTCCATTGTCTTCGAGAACATCCGGTTCCTACGAGCGACTCGCCTGCCCACCGCAGATGGTACGTGTTTAGAAGAAGGCATTCATTAATTTTCTTCAAAGTAAAATTTTGAACGGGCGCTGTGTAAAAGATGCAGGTGGTACATGTTTCTCAATAACTTCCTTGTGTAAAGAAATTCCCTTTGCGAATAATATGTTTAAACGATTTTTGCCAAATTTAAGACACCTACGGCCGCATATTCTGTACATGTTCCTCTATTGAATATGGAATTACTCCCCGCGTATACATAAAAAACAGATTTAACACAAAAACGCCACTATTTTGTAGATAATACTGTGAATATTTAACCAGCCGCTTGTGTAATGTACAAAACAGGGCTAATGCAATTTTTACACGCGTATTGTACTGTACTCTTAAGAAAAATGTCTGCAAGAAATGTAATGAGAGTACCTCAAAAGTAAAAATATGTTTCAAATTTGTAGGATCTCGAGTGGATCCAGTCAACCAGTGAATATTTATTTCTTATAAAATATTTTTTGCTGCACAACTGTTTCTATACAATTAGACACTACCCCGAGCATCCAAATGGAAAGTAATATTAATTTTAACAACGAAATTTAGTATATTATTTACCATTTGGTTTCTATAATTCTAAAGAACCTGTAACAAATATTGCACTGGGTCAAGAACCACCATCTCGGTCTGGATTTTGTCTAGTTTTCCTTATCCTTGAGCAAATGCTGAGATAACTACTTGTTATGCTTCTCGATATAAATATAATTTCAAATTAACTTCTCCCTATAGCACGTCACACACAGTTTTAAAGTGTGTTTGTGGTAATAATTAAATAAATAGTTTTACTTTCTCCCATTATGCTTATTTTGTGCACCAAATATTTTACGATATCAAATGAGTTTTACAAACTAGTTG